TCGTCGTAAATCACTGGAAACGAACAACAAGTTTCTTCGCCTTTCTTTGCTCATGAACAGTAAATCCCTGGAAACAAACACTACCTAAGGGAAAGTGAGTGGAAAGTGTAGAAAAAGTTTGTGAATGAATTGATTGATGTGATAGATAAAAATAAATTTTTTAATTGATAATTGTGAAAGATTACTATTTTGCCCTTAGGTTAAAAAAAAGTTTATAATTATTATAATTAAAAGATAAATATATAAATTTTAACTAAAAAATTATAAAAAATTAATTTAAAAATAAATTAATTTAAATATTTGGTTTAAATTTAATGATAGATAAAAAATAAAAATTTAAGAGATGAATATGTAATTTACACTTTTACCCTTGGATTAAAAATGAGTATAATATTATTTATTATAATTAATAATAATTACAATAAAATTATATTAATAAGTATAATTTATTAAAAATATAATAAATAATGATAAAAATAATAATAAATATTATCATAATAAATAATAATGATATTAATTATAATAAATAATAATATTAATATTAATAAAAATGAAAATAATAATATTTATAATAATAAATAATAATAACAAAATATATTATGATAATTATATTTTGTAACATTATTTTATTAATGTTTATGAAAGTGTTATTATTATAATTTTATAAACATGTATTACTTTATTTTTTTTATATTTCCACTTTTTAATGTTAATATTTAATATATAATACCTAAATTAAATATAATTATTTAATATTAATATTTAATTTATATATATATATATATATTAAATATTTAATTATTATTTTAGAGAAATAAACTTTAAATTTTATTATATTAATTTAAAAATTAAGTGATTGTTTTTCTAAATTATTGTCAATGAACATGTTGTATACAATGATGTTTACACCCAACATTTATTTGAATATACAGTTAACTATATGTAAACATGAAGTTAATTTTGTATTACTTACAAGATTAAAAGGAAATGAACTTAATTATATATAAACATCTATATGTAGTTAATAATATTATGAGGTTATTGATGATTAATTTTCTATTGCAAATAGTTAGTGTTGTCATATTTATATTAATTGTCACATATTGTTAACCACAGTTAATTTTATTTCATAAATAAATGAACGAAATTTATATAATTTTTGATATTTAGTTAATAATACCATAAGGTTATAAATGTCTTGAATGTACATTGATCTTACTCTTTCGATTATAGTATTGCTTAGACAACAGCTTTTTTTCTTTCAAACAAAAAATACCCAAACTAACTGCTACGGATGGAAAAGAAGTTGGTTTGTACAAAATCTCCTGCAAGTTTACATAAAAGTTGAGGTTGCAACCTTTTTGACAGTATTATTCCTCACCATAAAAAGATACATTCAATCGTCAACTTGTATGTTGTGTGGTCATGGCCATATGGAGCCAAAGTTTTTCTTGACTTTGACAGATTGATCAACAAGGACATTGTGTACTACTAAGATATTTTGTTTGGACAGAATATTTACAAAAAAAAAATTAAAATTCAAACTTTTTAAAATTCTAATTCATGTTTTAAGAATTTTAAATTTCTTAAATTTCTAAAATTCTTCATCCACACACAACATTAGGGATTTCTGACCTTATGTTCCATTCAGAAGAGTATGGTCTCAACTTATTTGGCCTTATCATTTACAAGCATTTTGATCCTATTTGGATGAGCTCAAAACAACTTTTGAAATCTCATACAATAGGCTCATTTTCACATGCTACAAATTGAAATTGAGTAGTCAATCCAAATGTTATTTAACTTATTTTAGACCACACTACAGACAGTAGTGATTATTTAACGAGTACTCAACAAGCACTAACTTCAGCTATTTATGCTTATGCACCTTAATCAAATGTCATTTGTTCAGCTTCATGCCTAATGGATTCAAACAGTGGTGAAGATAAGTAACGTTCTCCAAAACTGGGAAAAATCACCTGCACAACAATGATTCCGTGTTCATATTAACAAAAAATCTGAAATTAAACCGCCAAACATTAAGTAATTTTTGGAAATTCATAAACAGTCATCTTATAATCCCATTTAACAAACTTATCGAATATTACAAACTTACAACAATGAGTTTTCCTGCATTTTCTGGTCTTTTTCCCACCTTTATTGCAGCAGCTGCTGCAGCTCCCGATGAAATTCCCATCTGCAAAAGACTTGTTCATATAATTAGAATGAAAAATAATAATTTGCATATTTGAAATTACAAATTTATATTGTTTATATTTATCAGGAAGAACCATATGGAAGTTGCTGTAAATCCAATATCAAGAATCACAAATTATTGTTACTATACCAGCAAACCTTCTTTCAACGCAAGCAGCTTAGCAGTTTCTATAGCCTCTTCACTTGAAATCTGTAGTTTGTAAAACCTTGTTGGTCAAACTAGAAAACCTTATATTAATAGCTAGAATAGCCTGTTTCGAGAGTCAGAGATTCAGAATTAATATGCCTGTCATTGAAGAATGGTGGATCACATATAATAAGACGTCAAGTCTATTTTCTTGACGTGAGATGACTCATTCTAAACTCGTGAGCTTCTCTGGCTCAATGAGTAGCTCATGAGTTTAATAATAATAATAATAAATAAACAACTATTTAAATTGGATTTTGTCCTGTTTAGCATACAGAAAAACAAAATGATAAAATAATCATCTGATTTTTCCTTGTTTCTGTTTTGCTTAATATCCATAATTAATTAATCTGAAACCTTTTTAATTTTTAAGCAACTCCTTCACATCATAAGGAACAGAAATATATTTCCCAAGGTGATAACAACCTGTGTATTACTTTTTTTTTATATTTTTTTTATTTATTTATATAGAAAGACATTTCTTATTAGGCATATAACAATTGAATTAATACAATTTGATATATTTGAAAAATATATTCAACATAATTACTGAACGATTATTTCACTTCCACCATTCCCTTTCGTTGAGTCAGTCAATTGTAAGTCAGACATATCTTCATGCATTATTCCAGTACATTCAGAGCAAAACATTAACAAACTATGAGGTTACACTTTGACCAATAGAAAAACAGAGAGACAGCTTAATCTAAATAAAAGGAAGTACCTAGTTTTTGGATAAAATTACAAACTGAATGCAATGTATTATTGTTGAGAGCTACCTGAATAACTTCGTCTAGAAGATTAACCTCCAGAATGGGGGGAATGATACCGGCACCAATTCCTTGGATCAGGTGCTTACCTTTGACATGTGTGCAAGTGAAAAAAAGGGTCAGCAAACAGCCTCAAGTGGTTGCCTAAGGACTGTTCAAGATTAAAGAATAAATATTTTAAGAATTTATGTATAACATCTGAAGGAAGACACGTTTTAACTATTTAAATGAATAACAACAACATTTAGTACAAAGATTACAAGTAAAGGCAAATGATAAACAGGAGGACTGAGTACAGCTCACAAATTCTAACATACAGATCAGTCAAGAATTTAACATGGCATATCCAAATTGGAAAACACTAACAAATGTCTAATTGTGCTGCCTGAGTTTCAAGTTTTTTTTCTAGGCCCTTTTTTACGGAACATAAATTCTATTGTTCAGAATATCTCAAATAGTTTCCAAGGATGATCCAATAAGCAGTTTGATATTAAAAATGCTTTTCTTGATGGATGACTCATGAAATCCTGCGTGAAATAACTACTACACTTAAGGGGTCCCATTGTTATTCGTTGTACAACCTAATTATTACTTCAATCTCAAGGAATCTAGAGCCATACTCCCTGTTTAAATAGACAGACCTCTTCCGTGACTTGGTAGCTGCAGGTTCTGCCCAAGTTCTACATCAGTCCACATGACCAGATGGTAAATTTGTTGACAAAGGGTCTTTGTCAGCATGGTTTTATTGTCTTTGTTCTAATTTGGACATGGTTCCAATTCTATAGTTCAGTGCATTTTACTTCAATATATTGCGATACAGAGATGAAGATAATATAATAAACGAATCTTGGAAGTCTTCGCTTTTAATCTTCCATGAATATGATAAACAGTACTTGCATAATGAAATAGCAATAGAAGACCAAGACCAGATAGAAATATACAGAATAGTAAAATCACCTGGCTGTCCTCCATTCAAAACTGCACTTTCAGCTGGTTCCACACCATACAGCTGGGAGATGTAGAAGAAAACATAGTTAGCATAGAAATCATAAGTCCCATGTTCACCCCAGCCAGCAAAGTAAAGTATGCATGATAAACAAATCAACCTTGATTTCTGGGTTTTTCTCCTTGAGGAATTTTCCAGCACCTGTTATTGACCCCCCAGTTCCTATCCCTGAAACCAAAGCATCAACTTTCCCTCCTGAGTCTCTCCAAATCTCGGGGCCTGTTGTCTCATAATGAATCTACAAGGATGAAAAATTAATCAGCTGCATTTTTTCTTAAAACGACAACCAAGTTAGGAATGTGGTGTGAATAAGGAGAATACATTTGGATTGGCAGGGTTTTCAAATTGGTTGAGCATATAACTGTGAGGTGTCTTCGCTAGTAGTTCTTCTGCCTTCTGAATAACACCATCAATTCCTTTGGCAGGGTCTGTAAGATATACCTCAGCTCCAAAGGCTCGCAGTATAATTTTTCTCTCGAGACTCACATAAGATGGCATTGTCACCATAAGTTTATAGCCCCTCAATGCTGCTATGAATGCCAATCCTATGCCGGTGTTACCACTTGTGCACTCAACCAGAACAGTCTTTTAAACCATTAGACAAAAATATTAAACTTACTTATATAGTATCTTCAACAATACAGACAACATAACAAGTGCCTCAGGTGTCAGGAGTGAAAAGGCCCTCCTTTTCAATATTACAAGCTGTAATATTGGAAAATCTCAATAAAACATGTTTATTGAATTTGACTATGATGGATAATTTTATGTTATGGACCGAGAATTTGAAAAATATTATTTTCCAAATTAAAGCCATGTTTAGAAGTGTATGTCTATATTATTACAGGCTCCAGGCCACACTAAGAATCTCCAGACATGGGTAACTTTAACAGAGCTAACCTTTCCAGGTGTAATAAGGCCTTTTTTCTCAGCATCTTCAATCATGCTCAGTGCAATCCTGAGCAAGAAAAAGAAGATTATCATTACAAATCCTCAAAAGAGATTCTAAAAGCATTACAGTTTGTGAAAACAAGGAATTCCTTGCCTATCTTTGACACTACAGCAGGCTTGCATGTACTCAAGTTTAGCAGCAATACGGGCTACACACCCGTCCACAATGTTGTTCAGATATACCATTGGTGTATTCCCTATCAACTGCACAATAAAGGGAAGAAAATAGCAACAGTTTTTTTTTTCTACTAAACATTAATTACCGTAAAAATGGAAGAATAGACAAGAGTGCTTAAGGTAAATGGAGGATGAAAAAATAACTCTACTTCAGTGGCATCTTTCTTGATTGCACATTGTGGCTCCATGCTATCTACTCAAAAACACCTACAAGTCAGAATATGTGAAGGTTAAGAAGCTAAGAACTTGTAGAAAATGCGAATAGACATTTTAGCATATCATTTAATTAGTCACCAACAATGACAAGCTCTGCCTTTTGATTCCCTAAACAAGTTCCAAAAAACTCAATTAAAATCTTTCAGAGACAAAAACCACCAGCTAAAGAAAGCACCATGACAGTTCAACAATCATTCAGCATGTATGAGCCAAAAATCAGAAACTCAAAGCACGAAATTTTGGAGATTGGAATATCAGAATTACCAAGTAGAACTTCACTTTTATGACCCAAATGACAGGAAGCCAAAACGTTGAAAACAATGATATTTTAGTGTTTCAGACTCTTCGAAAGAATAGTCAATCCACCTATGCTTAACCAAAATTTATTGAATTGGTTTAACTATTGTCAAACAATTAACTTACTTTACTTTTACGAGGACATATTATAATATTAGAAAATAAGATGGCGGGGTCTTTACGCTAAGATCCAAAAGCTATAATGTTATTATATTTACATAAGACAAAACCTTTGATGTCTGTGGCTGCCATAGAAAACGGGTCGATAACTCCAGCAATTTTAAATGTTCGTTTATTTCAATTTAAGAATCGTTCTACTTTGCCAAAAATCCTCACTATAAAATATAGATGCAGTTTATAAAAAAAAGTTATTCTTTATAGATTTTTTTTTTTTGACAGGAACTTATTGTTTATAGATAACCAATACTCTATACATATATAATTTGAATTTAATGACCTGTTTCGTAAGCGCCTATAAAATCATTATCAAATCAGAAATTTTACATGATCGATGGGTTGGGTAATATATTCGAAGTGTTACTTTTATTGCAATTTCTATATATAAAAAAATATGCAACATAAATAACCCGAATTGGGTAGTGGTTACACTCGACGATTTATTTTAAAATAAAAAAATCATGTATTTGGTCCCTGGCATGTCATGTGCAACAGCCTTTAAGTATCCATCACATGTTGCAAGTGAGATTATTCCTTGATTTAATGAATTAGAATATCCATGACCTTATAAAATAGACATACAAAATTAACCTCTATATATTAAACATAAATTTCTATATTATGTGAGAGTGTTTTTAAGAGTTTTTTTATAACAAAATAATTTATAAGAATTTTTTTATTTTTTATCTAATTCAATTTTTATTTATCATAATTATTTATATATTAAATAATATTTTAAAATAAATTATAAAAGATAAAGATAAAATCTTGTCACAATACAAATTATTTATCATAAATCTAAAATATAATTTATATATTTAAAAATATTTATGTATACTAATTTTAAATATAATTTATATATTTAAATATAATATTTATTTATATACATAATTGATTATAAATTTTAATTATATATAATAGATATGTCTCCACATGCTAAAATACTAGTAATTAAGAATAGACATACAAAATAATTAAGAAAAAGTCACAAACAATAAGGAAAATTAATAAAAGTATAATAAAGTTCATCATATAAATTACAAACAATGTGTATTATTGATGTTGTTCTTTAATTAAAATGGAACTTAACTTATTTGGCCTTATCATCAAGAAGTATTTTGATTCTATTTGGATTTGAAATCCTATACAAAGGGCTTATTTTCATAAGCTAGAAATTGAAGCTTAAAGTGTCAATCCCAATGTTATTCAACTTAATTTAGACCACACTACCGACAGTAGTGCTAATTTAACGAGTACTCGATGAGTACTAACTTCAGCTATTTATGCACCTTAATCAAATGTCATTTGTTCAGCTTCATGCCTAATGGACTCAAACAGTGGTGAAGATAAGTAACGTTCTCCAAAACTGGGAAAAATCACCTGCACAACAACAATTCAGCATTCACATTAACAAATATCTGCAATTAAACCGCCAGACAACATTAAGTAATTTTCGGAAATTCATAGACAGACGTCTTATAATCCCATTTAATAAAATTATTAAAGATTGCAAACTTACAACAATGAGCTTCCCTGCATTTTCTGGTCTCTTTCCCACCTTTATTGCAGCAGCTGCTGCAGCTCCCGATGAAATTCCCATCTGCAAAAAGACTTGCTCATATAATTAGAATGAAAAAGAATATTTGCATATTTGTAATTACAAATGTACAGTGTTCATATTTAACAGAAAGAACCATATGGAAATTACTGTAAATCCAATATCAAGAATCACAAATTATTGTTAACATACCAGCAAACCTTCTTTCAAGGCAAGCAACTTAGCAGTTTCTATAGCCTCTTCACTTGAAATCTGCAGTTTGTAAAATCTTGTTGGTCAAACTAGAATACCTTATATTAGTTAGCTAGAACCTAGAAGAGGAAACATTATGTAATTTCCATAAAATCTTAGCATGTTTCAAGAGTCAAAGATTCAGAATTAATATGCCTCTCTGTCATTGAAGAATGGTGGATCACATATAATTCAGATATGCTGCTTTACTCTATGTATAATATGTGCCAAGTGCATTATTATGTCACCCTAACTTTGATTAACAAACAAAACTAATCTAATGCGTTTGTTTTTGAGTACACAGAAATTAGAAAATGCCATTCATATCTCCTTTGTCCAAAGGGTTTACAGTCTTAAGGAGATCATTCCAAGACCATTAATTAAGCAACATAATCCTAAGACACATTTATCCTCAGATGATCTGACCAACAGTTTGAAAACTCTATCGTCCTAAAACTGTAAGACACCACCCTCAATGGTCACTCAAAATGAAACAGTAACAAGTCAACCTGTAAAAAGCAAAAACAGACTTGTATACTGCACCTGACACAAAAGTAAATGCGACAAAGTAAACTTCAGCTGCAAAAGTATTGTCCTACACCGAAATGGAAAACTCAACAAGAGGCAACCTACTTTTTTCTTTTTTTTTGGTATTATGAGGCTACCTACTTTGATTTGCCTACTCGTTCCAAAGGAACAAAAACTTGTCTTGCAGTATGATTTTTCCTTGTATCTCTTTTGCTTAATATGCATAATTAATTAATCTGAAACCTTTTTAAGTAACTCCATCACATCATAAGAAAAAAAATAAATTTCCCAAGAAGGAGATACCAACATGTGTATTACTTCTCTCTCTCTCTCTCTTAAAAAAGCATTTAAAAATTATTAAGCATATAGAAATTGAATTAATACAATTTGAGATATTTGAAAAATACATTCAATATAATTGCTAAACGATTATTCATTTCCACTATTCCATATCGTTAAGTCAGTCAATTGTGAGTCAGATAGATCTTCATGTATTATTCCAGTATATTCAGAGCAAAAGACTAACAAACTATGAGGTTACACTTTGACCGAGAGATAGAGAGAGACCTTAATCAAGTAGCCAGCTTTAGAATCAAAATTGAAAACTGAATACCAATGTGCTATTGTTGAGATCTACCTGAATAACTTCATCAAGGAGATTAATATCCAGAATGGGGGGAACGACACCGGCACCAATTCCTTGGATCAGGTGCTTACCTTTGACATGTGTGCAAATGGAAAAAAGGGTCAGCAAACAGCCTCAAGTGGTTGCCTAACTCCTAAAGACTGTTCAAGATTAAAGAGTAAAATTTTAAGAATTTATATATAACATCTGAAGGAAGACAGATTTTAACTATTCAAATGAGTAACAACATTGCCTGATTACAATTTAGTTAAACGATAAACAGGATGACTGAGTACAGCTTACAACTTCCAATATACAGGTCAGTCAACAATTTAACAGGACATATCCAAATGGGAAAACACTCACAAATGTCTAACAGTGCTACCTGAGTTTCAAGTTTTTTCCAGGCCGTTTTTGACTGAACATAAATTCTAATGCTCAGCATGTCTCAGATAGTTTCCAAAGGATGATCCAATAAGCACTTTGATGTTAAAAATGCTTTTCTTGAGGGCTGACTCAAGAAATCTTGTGTGAAATATCTACTGCACTTAAGGCGTCTCAGTGTTATTCATTCGATAACCTAATTATTACTTCTCTCTCAATGAATTTAAAGCCATACTCCTGATCTAAGCACATTGAAATAGACAAACTTGTTTTGTGTCCTAATAGCTGCATGTTCTGTCCAAGTTCTGCATCTGCCCACATGACCAGATAGTAAATTTGTTCACAAAGGGTCTTTTGGCAGCAGGGTTTCATTGTCTTTGTTCTAATTTGGACTTGGTTCTAATTCTACTATTCAGCACATTTTACTTCTATATATCATGATACAGAGATGGAAATAATATAATAAATGAGTCTTGGATGTCTTGACTTTAATCTTCCATGCATATGACGATGAGAGTCCAATAGTTATACAATGAAATAGCAATAGAAAACCAAATACCAGAGAGAAATATACAGAATGGTAATATCACCTGGCTGTCCTCCATTCAAAACTGCACTTTCAGCTGGTTCCACACCATACAACTGAGGGATGCAGAAGAAAACATAGTTAGCATAACAAATTATAAATCCCATGTTCACTTCCAGCAAAGTAAGTATGCATTGCATGGTAAACAAATCAACCTTGATCTCCGGGTTTTTCTCCTTGAGGAATTTTCCAGCTCCTATTATTGACCCCCCAGTTCCTATTCCTGAAACCAAAGCATCAACTTTCTCTCCTGAGTCTCTCCAAATCTCAGGGCCTGTTGTCTCATAATGAATCTACAATGATGTCAAATTTATCAGCTGCAATTTTCCTTAACACAACAACCAAATTAGGAATGTGTTGTGAATAATGAGAATACATTTGGATTGGCAGGATTTTCAAATTGGTTGAGCAAAAAACTATTAGGTGTCTTGGCCAGTAGTTCTTCTGTCTTCTGAATAAGACCATCAATTCCTTTGGCAGGGTCTGTAAGATATACCTCAGCTCCAAAGGCCCTTAGTATAATTCTTCTCTCAAGACTCACATAAGACGGCATAGTCACCAGAAGTTTATAGCCCCTCAATGCTGCTATGAATGCCAATCCTATGCCGGTGTTACCACTTGTATACTCGACCAATACAGTCTTTGCAACCATCAGTCAAAAATATTAAACTTAGATAGTATCTTTAATAATACAGACAGCATAATAAGTGCCTCAAAAGTGAAAAGGCCCTCTTTTTCGATATTATAAGCTGAAATATTGGAAAATCTCAATGAAACATGTTTTCTGACTATGATGGATATTGGATAATTTGAAAAACATTGTTGTCCAAAACACCAAATATTATTACAGGCCTGAGGCCGCACTAGGTAGGGTTGTTCATGGTTTGGATTTTTCAAAAAATCTGAATCAAGCTGTTCCATTTTATAAAAACTGTTTGATTAACTGAATTGTTTTTTATAAAATGGACCGGCTAGGTTTATTTTAAAAATGGATCAATTTTTTTTAAACTGAATTTGTT